ACTCTTAATGTGAAACTGAAGCTGCTCAAGGAAATTGCTGAAGTGAGCTAGACAGGATTCCAGTGCGTTCGGAACTGAATTGCTGAAGCCACATGAAGACTTACTGGTATAGATTACTTCTCATCGCCTTACGTCCATTTATACCTTCGTGCCTGATGTGCGTGCCTTTCCTTTCCAGAGAGGTCCGATACAATTTATCAGTGGTTCTAAGTTGCCCTTCAGTAGTGAGAAACTTGATGAACCACTGTATTCCCGCACCCAAACAAGATAAGGAGAAACAATCTGATTCTGATGCGAATTTTGAAATACTAGATTTTCCAGAAGTTACTAAGTCAGTCAGTAGAAGTGTTGCTGAAGAAATCAGTTAGCAATGCTAGTAAATGAATGTGTTAAACAAGGAACTAAAAGTGTCACAGGGATTGCAATATGCAAGCTAAGTAGAAGACTTCTTCTTGCTGAAAGAAGAATTACCGCTTAATGGAAATCACATTTGGAGATTAAAATAGTTGACTGAAGTTCAGATTTGTATTTACTGAAGGACAGCAACCAGAAATTACCTTCAAGAGCTTTAGCAGATACAAAGACATATTGTGGGGACAGAATAAGGTATTATCAACTTCTAATGCCAGTAAAACTTGCCTGGGTAAATGTTAGGAAATTAGAGTTTTGAATTTTTTAACTTTACATTATTTCTACGATCTAATAAATTGTATCACTTTGTTAATTTTCAGATTTAAATGCATCTTTTGGTTCGACGGATGTGTTTTCCAAACAGGTCGCAAGAGTTCAAGAAATTTTCTTTTGAAGAACTAGAATGAGATATTCTGATTTAATTTTGTTTATTGCACTTTTAAGCATATATTGCTCTTAGTATTTAATATGGACGGAACATAATTATATTTCTCAAGTGAACAGTTACATTTGTATATTTCTGCAATACAATATTGATACATGATTTGAATTTATTATTGGGATGATTATTGTTCATATTTTTAGTCCATTGATATTGAATATTTATATTTGACAATTAAGAAATTATGAATGCTTTGTATACATTACAATAAAAAAAGCTATTTAAAATATATATTATTTCAATAAATGCTATAAATATTAAAAAAATTATGATGAAAAAAAGAGTTCTTATGTGTTTTCATGCCCGTTAGAAGAAGGATTGTTATATTGTTTCGGTATAAGAATGCTATTAAGGACGTAATCATGACAATTAAAGAATGTTATTATAGCCAAAATTATAACCAAAAAAATGCTATCAAAATAAAAAAGATTACACAAAAGGAATGCTAGAAATACTAAAATTATGACAATCACAAAACGTTATTAAAGGTTTTTTTATAATACTTTATAATAGCAAAAAACGTTATAATAGAGGTAAAACTTCTAATAACACCACCTATGATAGCATTTTAAAAAATGTTATAGAATATGGTAGACAGCATTCTTTGCAAACTATAGATGATATCTACAAGTCAAATGGTTTCAAGTGCTAGATTCTCCATCAATTTAGCCAAGGATGCATGTCACTTTGTTACCATATCCAACT